CCACTTTTCAAAAACCGTTTCATTGTATATGGATTTATATGAAAGTATATCGGTTTTTTTTTAAATAGATTAGACACCGTTGGTTTTCCCGTTTGAATGGTTTTACACTACTAATTTTTTGGGGGCCCTTTATAGCTTGCTGTTCGGTTTGAGCCAAGGCTCCGTGTTGAAGACCGTACGTTGACCTTTAATGGTTTACATTTACAAATTATGACTTGGATGGAGAGTTGTCTCATCGGCACTCATACCACATCTTCTTTTATCTATATACAACGTAAACCAGACGTTTCTCAGACTGTTTTCTTTTTTGAATAAATCCTTTGCCGCGCGTTGTGTACTGATTGATAACTCAGTCTAGGAGAACAAGATTTATTTCAGTACCAGTTGTAATTAGGTTTGAGCAAACTTCTATAATTGCAAATACTCTTATGTCGGTGCTTTGTGTCTATTGTCTTAATGTTAGTTTTTTTGTGTGTCTCGTACCTTATCTTTTGAGTTAATTTTCTGATTTGTGCAGGTTGTTATTTTATTGTACTGTTACACCACTGTCCCAGCTTCTAGATGGGTTGTTCACAAACATGGTGTTGTACTGTTACACCGCTGTCCCAGATTAGGAGGAGGATTGGGATCCCACTAACATGTTAACCCCGCCACATTCTGTATGTATGTGCTTGTCCCAAGTCAAGAGCCTGTAATTCAGTGTTTACCGTTTGTTGCTTTGTTATACATATTTGTGTTTCGTTCATTTTTTTGTACATTAATTCGGCCGTTAGTTTTCTCGATTGAATTGTTTTACATTTTTGATTTCGGGGCCTTTTATAGCTGACTATGCGGTGTAGGCTTTGCTTATTGTCGAAGGCCGTACGGTAACTTATAGCTGTTGATTTCTGTGTCATTTGATCTCTTGTGGAGAGTTGTCTCATTTGCAATCATACCACATCTTCGTTTTTATATCCACTCTGCCATATTCTTTATTTGCCTGTCCCAGGGATGGAGCCTGTAGTTTAGTGGTTGTCGTTGGTTCCTGTCTCGACTCATATTTGATATTTTGTAAATTGTTTTGTTATGTATAATTAGGCTGTTAGTTTTTTCGTTTGAATTGTTCACACTTTTCATGTCGGGCCTTTTATAGACGACTTTACAGTATCAGGTTTTTGTCATTGTTGAAGGCCTTACGATTGTCTACAAAAAGCATTTGTTTACATGACGGCAAAAAGCTCTACAGAGCTTATGTTTGTAGTATTTCATGTAACCCGACTTAAAATAAATTTGTCTTATCTTATCTTATCTTATCTATAATTGCTTACATCCACTTCATATTTGAACTCCGGTGGATAGTTGCCTTATTAGCAATCATATTCCATCTCTTCATTTTTATATTATATACGTGACTTCTAAACTCGTGTTTTCCTGAACAAGCATGAAATAATTTTCACTGGGCGTTAAAATTAGCAACAAACAATCAATCAATTTAAACTTGTGTTAAATAAGAGGAAAACCATTTGATATTTATTTATTTGTTGGGGTGGAGACAGAAGGATTTCATATATGAATATGGTTGCCTGGTAAGAGCTGAAAAATAGGCATGATTAGCGACAGATTGAAATGAATAATAATGCCCTCTCTTCCCTTCCCCATCCTTCATCTATAAATTTAAACTGACCACCACGGAATAGCCCAATAGTGTTGAAAGTAGCGTTACACACCAATCAATCAAAATCCCTTCCCTAGAATATCAAATAATCGTCCCTTAACTGTTATTGTCCGTGTAGTTCTTATTTTTATCCAGCTTATCGTCCTACAGGGATGTCCTACTAAGACTGTCATACCATAAAAACGTTTATAAAACAGCTCACATTCTAATATATCTGCATTCATAAATTTATTAATTTCATTTAGACTAAACGACGCCATGTTTGTTATGTGCCTCTGCCGTCAACCTACCCTTTTTTCCAAAAAAATGGCATTATTAAATGTATAAAAATATATATAATCATCAAAATTAAAATGCTATTGTATTTTTATAAGACCTACTTTATTACATGACCTGGGACTAATGGCATCTATCTATAAGTCCTAGCATACATTAATTATTATAATATGAATATGTTTCTTGTTTTAATAACCACATATGTTGCTATGCATGAGTCACCATCTATCAGGACATGGATTGGGTTTACATAGAGAGGATAAGGGACGACATCAGAAAATCAATGAAGGATAAAAAAACTTAATTCAAATAGTTTTTGGGGGGGGGGGTCAAAATTGCTGCAAGTTTTGTCCAATTAACATTGATTTTATATATATCCTTATTGGTCAATCAATTTTTCCCAAATTAAGTTAAGAGGGGGGGGGGGGGTAGGGGGTCAGTGAAAAAAACTATATGAATTAAGTTTTTTTTATTTTTTATCCTACATTGAACTTTTGATGTCGTCCCTAATGTGCAAAAAAATAGATAAGGGGCGGGACCAAACCTATAGATAACATAATAAAGAAATGATGAAATATACAGAATACGTTGATTGACTTTTGGTTGCCTTATGTCCAGTGGCAAATATGTCACGCATGTTTAGGACAAATATAATAGAGATCAAAGGATAAAGAATAGAGTGAAATGGTAAAAACTAAAAGATATAGAATTATAGAAACGATCTTTCATCTGAAACCCCTACCCTCACACACACACCATAACCATTACTGCCAATACTCGCATACATACATCTCTATACAAATATCTAAATTTGAACCTACTCATTTCAATGTGTAGACTGTAGGAGAGTTTCTTCAGAAAAGGTTTTCATTGGAGGTGTGTTTGCCATGCACGCAGGCATCTGTTTCTATCCATGAACAAGTTGTGTGTCAAATTAATTATTATTACTTGTCACTCGCATTTTTTGCTCGTCCTGGCCATTATTAGCATTAACAGCCAGTGCACGAACTCGCACGAACGCCAAATTTAGTTAGAGGGGCGATATTCTGACGCGTTTTTTTAATTCTTGGTTACTCAAGTTTAGAAAGAAAGGGGAGAAATCCAAACAATTACCGACCAATCACAAACGTTGTTGCAAATTTGACTTTATAACGTCAAAGAATTTCCCATAATGCAATTATAGCATATAAATAAAAAACTACTATACCAATTGAATAAAAAATATTGCATTCAAAAGACATTTTATACCAATTGAATAAAAAATATTGCATTTGAATGAAAATTATACCATTTGAATGAAAAATTATACCATTTGAATGAAAAATTATACCATCTGAATATAAAATATTGCATTGAAATGAAAAAATATACCATTCAAATAAAAAAATATTGCATTTAAATGAAGAAATATACCAATTAAATAAGAAATATTGCATTTAAATGAAAAATATCAAATTTTTGCAACCAATACCATGCCATACTCTACCTACGAAGATTATAATTAATGATATTATATTCAGATGAAGAAGTTTAAAGAACATTTTAACAATTGAATTTTTGTAAAGGTACTTTGAAAGGGATCTTTTGAAAACAAGGGCAGATACATAACACCGCGCTGAATTACGTCCATTATTCATTTTTCTTTATTCAAAATTCAATAATGAATAATGAAATAGTTCATTATTTATTATTCAACCTTTAGTAATGAATAATGAATAATGAAATAGTTCATATTTCACTATTCAAGTTGAAAAGTGAAAAAGAAAAAGAAAACTTATTTTTTTACTGTGACAATACATGAATATCCCGTATTTCTGAATTCGTCATTTTAATGTTATTCGCCCGCTAACAAATATCTAAATTATTATAAGAAAAGAAAATGACAACACTCTTCGAAATTTTCATCTTTATATATTTATTTAGTTTCAGAGGATAAACTAGTGTGCTTCTCTAACCATTTTTAACAGAAATTCTTTATTTTCATGTACGGACGACCTGAATTCATTTTCACTGGACCTTTGCTATTCTTCGTCCCTGATTATAGATTTAACTTGTCAATTGTGCCGCAATGCCCATTTGAAGGGTTAAGGAGGACCTAAATGCCAAAATACACGTGAAAATTAAGAAATAGCCAATTTTGAATAATGGAATGGATATTTTGAATAATGGAATGGATATTTTGAATAATGGAATGGACTGCTGCGACCCTTCAGCCCATAATTACAGACATACCTTATACGTCATTCGAAGGCTTTTCAATAGAGGAACAAAAGGTATATAGTCAATATGTTCCGCAACGCCTATTAGAGGAGTTATGGAGGACCTTAATGTCGAAATACACGTGAACATTAAGAAATAGCTTATTTTGAATAAGGGAGCTACCATTTGATTTGTATGGGCTAGGATGAAAAATTTTGTCCTGCATTTTTTTTTAATTGTAATCTCTGTCCTGCCTTTTTATTTTTCACTCCATTCGGTCCTACCTTTTTTTTATTAGTTTATCCTGACTTTTTTTACATAAATTGTCATCCTGCCTTTTTTTTTGCCAAGTTGCTCATCTTGATTTTTTTTTACTCAAAACTCCTGTCCTGCCCTTTTTTCAATTTCATCATAGCCCCCTCCCCCCATTAAAAATCAAATAGTAGCTCCCTAATGGAATGGACTGCTGCGACCCTGTAGCCATTATTTTACAGCAAATTGTACACACCATTTGAAAGCTTATTGATAGAGGAACAAAATGGTTATAATCAATATGTGCCGCAATGCCCATTAGAGGGGTTACGGAGGACCAAAATGCCAAAATACGCGTGAAAATTAAGAAATTGCCAATTTTGAATAATGGAATGGCTATTTTGAATAATGAAAAATGGATAATGGACGTACTTCAGCGCGGTCTACATAACATGGTTAATTAAGGATTCACAGTGATTATCAGATAAATACTAAAGCGCATGAATAATACATATCAACTGAATGAAATGACAGCATCAATTAAATTTTAACGAATTGATTGAAAGCAAAAAAAAAAATCGTTATTTCCCTTTAAACAAGGCCCATGGGAAAATTAGCTTCTCGACATACAAAAGTAATTTACCATGAAGAAACTATCTAAAAGCATGTTTCTATGTAGCCATGACAATTTTGATGCACATAAATATTTAGAATAGATACTTATGTATATCTATAAAATAGTTAAATTTGTAAAACTATATTATAGCAGACATTACTTAATAAAAGATTGGAATACTGACGATGTCAGCTTTACAACATGATGCTGGTAAGTTGTATGATAAAGAGTACATTGCATAAGGTAGGGATTCCAATTAATGGCGCATATCTTGATGCAATCACATACTGGACATTATATGGTATGATTGGTTCGTTTATTCTCATTTCATAAATCAGGCCGTTGATTTTTTTTTCTTCATTTGAATGGTTTCACACTTTTGTCATGTCGGGGTATTTTATAGCTGACTTTACGGGATTGGTTTTGCTCTGGCATTGTTGAAGGCCGGACGGTGACCTATAGTAGCTTAAATCAGCGTCATTTTGAATTGTGTTGAATAAATGTCCTATTGGCAATCGTACCACGTCACCTTATTATATATTATGATACTTTACTATAGTAACCACTAATAACATAAGAAAGATACTACACCATGTGTTTTATTTTTCATCAACAAAAATATTTATCTCGAGGCAAACTGATAACTGTTTGGAAATGTGCACGTAGCAATAAAAAAAAACAGAAGTTCTACGAGCAAAGCTTACAAAGTGATACCCCCTGTTTCCTTGCAAAGTCCATGATTTGCTAAGGGAAACCCAAAAATTATTCTGATAAAAAAATAGGAGGTGCACAATAGCATTATACATGTATGGTTAAGATTGTGAGAAAGTTTCGATAAAGAAAAAGAGTTTTAGGAGGAGTAGTTCCCAAATAAAAAATGGTAAGGTCCATGATTTGGCAAGGAAAAGCCGTAAGACAATTCAGATTAAAAAAAAAACAAAATAGGAGGTGCACAAAGACATTATATGGTAAAGGTTCTGAGAGTTTCATTACATTATAATTGGGGTTTAGGAGGAGACGCGTGTTATAGTCTAAAGATATGAAGAAGTCCATATTATCCCAAAATAAGCACGTCAAAACTCAAATGAAGAAATGAGGTAAGAGGTGCAAAAGAACATTAAGTCGTTAGAATTCTGTGAAAGGTTCACAAAATTCTTTCAAGCGATTCAGGAGTAGTTGCGGTAAAAGTATATTTCAGTTCTACTTTACATGTAGACATAGAAAATATTCGAAGACGAAGAAAACAAAACACAAAACATGCAAAAAAAGAAGCATTGTTTCATATTAAGTTCGGTATAAGAATAAAATGACATATATATAAGAAGATGTGGTATGAGTGCTAATGAGACAACTCTCCATCCAAGTCACAATTTATAAAAGTAAACCATTATAGGTCAAAGTACGGTCTTCAAGACGGAGCCTTGGCTCACACCGCACATCAAGCTATAAAGGGCCCCAAAAATTGCTAGTGTAAAACCATTCAAACGGGAAAACCAAATGCCTAATCTATATAAAAAACGAGAAACGAGAAACACTTATGAACCACATCAACAAACGACAACTACTGAACATCAGATTCTTGACTTAGGACAGGTTCAAACAATTGCAGCGGGTTAAACCGTTTTAATGGTACCAAACTTTCACCCTTATCTGAAAAAATAGTGTAACATCACAACATAGAAAGACACACTATAAAATATCAATTGAAATGGCTTAACTCAATCAAAAGACATATTAACACAAGTGAACCTACACTGAACGAATAAATTTGATCTATGATACAATGTTAATACAAAATCAATAAAATAAGGGATGAATAATTAAAGTAACAGTATTATACCGCTGTGAAATGTTAAACAATTTCAGAAATACAACTATAAACGTAAAACAAAAATCCGCCATTTACAATAATATTATACACAGGTAAATGAAAATTAATTTTGTTGTTAGGTAGACAGTTTAAAAGGAGAAAAGAAATATTTTTACAAAATAAATAATTTTGATGTTCATAGTTCAAAGAAGTGAAAACTTATAGTAATATATAACACTTATCAAAGCTGGTATATAGACCAGATATAACCCTGAATAAGTAAATATTAAATAACAAAAAAGCATTACAAATAGTATCAACAGGTCAAATTAACAAGAAAGAACGATTTGAGAGTACTCGCAGTTACTGACAGCTAGTTAAAAGCCAAAAACAATTAATAATAAAAAATCATGCATCAGAGACTAACATCAACTAAAACACATCCCAGGGATTAAGTATTTTAACGTCATGGACAGTCAAAGAAGACATGACTTGTGCAATGCCAAAAATAAATGTATCGACAGGCAGAAGGATAGTTAGGAGTTAACCTCTTATAGATAAAATTGAACGTGGGTGTGTCTTTATACATCCCGTTTGAAAAGAATACAAATTTAGTTATGTTTTAATTTGCTGATGACAAAATCGATATTAGTGCCAATGTAAACTATATTCAAAGATCTAATTACAACATTGGTAAGATAACCTTTACTAATAAGTTTGTTTAAAGGTTTGATGAGTTTACACGGATCACATAGTGATTTCCGCGCTTTTAGTACAATATTACCGTAAAATTTAGGATGTGAAATACCGTTTTTAATAAGTTTTCTACAGATACAGCCAAATTTAGTAATCAAATCTTTGTATCTATGAAAGAATTAAGTAAAAGTTTTAAGTAATTTATGGTAACGAAATCCCTGACTTAATAATTTACCAGTGATGCATTGATTACGTTCGTTAAAATCTATGACATCACTACACCCATGGGCATAACGAACGAGTTGGGATATATAAACACCGTATGATTGAGCCAAAGGAACAACGCCGTCTAAAAAAGGAAAATTAATAATAGGAAATGAAAAATCGTCTCTTTTGTTGTAAATTTTAGTATGGAGTTTCCCTTTAGAAATTGAAATGTCTAAATCTAGAAAAGGACAACTACTGCTGTTTATGTTAGATTTAGTTAAAGTAAGTTCTTTTGGGTAAATTTCGGTAGTATATTTAGAGAACTCTGGATTATTTAACGAAAAAATATCATCCAGATAACGGTAGGTATTGTTGAATGTATCAACAAAATGTAACAATGACGTGTCTTTACTGAGTTTGGTCATAAACTGAGATTCATAGCAATACAGGAATAAATCTGCTATTAAAGGGGTGCAGTTAGTGCATATAGGAATACCTACTACGTGCCGATACACTTTATCGCCGAAACGTACATATATGTTGTCCAGGAGAAAATTTAAAGCTTCAATCATATCTTCACATAAGTAAGTATATCTAGCATACTTTCCTTTTTCGTTACAGAAAAGGGCTTTAAACGAGTTACAGCAAATAAATTTGCAACGAGACTTCTCAAAAGACCATTCAATTAAATATGAAAATTGTGTGGAAGGGTAGTGTAGAGAGTAGAAAAATCATAACTGTCAACAGAATTCAAAAGGACCATCAAAAGCACGTATTTTATCCAAAACCTCTAAAGAATATTTAACACTCCAAAAATAATTAATACCATTATTTGCATAAGATTTATTACAAAATTTAATAACAAGTTCTTTGACATTAGTAAGGGAGGTAGTTAGAAGCACTGATTGATTAGTAGAACACTTACTAGATGCGGAGATGAAATGGAATTTAAATGTTTTTTTGTGCAATTTAGGTAACCAGTACATAGTGGGGACGTTCAAATGTTCGGAAGAGGCTTTAAGCTGGGTAGTGGCAGTGATATGCTAGTTAATATCCTTGACTCTCTGTGGAGCGTACGGACCTGAATGTAGAAGCATTGGTAATTTCGTTTTGGAGAACTTCCGTGTAGTATATGCGTCACACCACCACTACATTATTGGCTGCTTTGTCTGCCGGTACGAACACAAACCGCTTTGCCAGTACTTGGAGTTTATTTTTCATTCTAAAAATGGGAATACCATGGACCCTATTATTAATTTCAGAATTGTTTTCAAAATGAGATAGACGAATATTAACAGTATTCATAATTTTATTCAAATAACTGTCTAGAGATTTTTTATCAGATTTTTCATGTTTACACCAACTTTTACAGTAGGCAGACAGAGCGTCTTTAATGACCTGGCGAAGCTGTTTCCAATCTATTATAGATGGACGACGATATTTCGGTCCTTTCTTAAGAAAAGTTTTGACCTCACGGTCTTCGACGATGTTGAGGTCTCCTGTAATGACATGACCATAGGGAACATATCTAAAACTAGATGTTTTACAGTCTCAAGTGGAAGGAACATTATTTTCTATATTGACGTCTAATGTAACTGGTGTATAATTAAAAATCAAACTTCTGCTGTTTTTTTTTTATAAGAATACTAAATAATAGGTGGTTCTATATTATCAAAATATGGAGGTATTTGGCTTTGGATGGTAGAGTCATTGAATATACTAGATAAGTTAATAAAATCAATACCTTTATTTATATATTTTAATTTAAGAAAATGCCGTTTATGATTTTCAGGTTGATCGATACTAGGAAACAGCCTGTGATGCCAAAAGGCTGTTATAATACGGGTGTATTCATACAACGGGCTAAAAAGAAATTTTATCACACTCAAGAAAAATAGCATATAATTTACTGACCCAGTTTGCATAATACTTGATGTATGCCATTATTTTTTGTTATAGATAACAGATCAACAGGTGTATAATTTGTACGATGTTTAATACGTTGATTACGGTTTTTGCGTAAAAAGTTGTATCAAAATTATTAAATCTTGGAAAGGTAATTTTTCCCTCGATCGTGTGGACACCAAAAGTCAAAATGAAAATTATCAAATCTTGAAGGGATAGTTTCCCTCGGACATGTAGCCATCGGGAATATAACCTTTTCTTTATTTAATAATTTTGTATGTTAACTGTATAAGAAAAGTACAGCTGCATCAATAACAGTACAAACAGTTCATAAAAAAGACGTTCATCAATATATTATTGATAATATTCACCTGACTCAAGCTAGCGAACAATTGTAGCGAACAATTAGCTAGCGAACAATTAGGAGGTATAACTAAAAACCACAATATCACATAAGGTTATCACGTTTTTTCGAGCTAGCGAACAATTATGAGAATACATACAATCTTAAACAAAAACGAAAAAACTAACTTAAAACAAAAGGGAAACCATACTTCATATATAAAGAATACAAAGCTTTTCTTTCCTAACT